TCCTTCTATCTTTAGGGAAAGATGCAGATTTTTGTTAGAAGAATTCCACATCAATCACTTACTCCCACTCCACTGTTGTATAGCAGGCATGTTTATAGACAATATAAATGTGTGTATATATGTTACATTTTATACGTATGCATTAAAGCATGCATGAAGATTATACTACATACATGATTATCGAAGTTAGAAAGCTCCTTCCATTTTTTTATTGTTCTCCACTTATTTTTTTTTCTTTTTAAGATCCAGAACTTGCTGTTCTAATCCCGAGGAAGGGCTGATTTATGATTCCTTCATCTACTTCTATTAATAGAATGGGGCTTTAAATAAAAGCTGATTGCATGCAAATTTCACATAATAGACTATGGCTGTGATGGCTCTAACAGCACACACTGATGATAAATAAAAGGCTACCACTGCTTCCCCCCTACACCCACATCTCTCCTTAACAAGTGTTTGGTAAATGTCATTCTATTTCTAAAGAAAGAGAAACAGTGAGGGGAGCACATTAAAAAGAAAAGTATGTATTGCACATTCCAATCTAAAGTAGAATATTCGTGTTTTCCCCTCCCAAACCCATCAAATGTGTTATAATTAGATACAGTTAAGATACATTTAATCTGATTTGGGAATCCAAATTATTAATCTTCATGCAATTGTGGTAGAATTAATATGGGAATGTATTATGATGAAATGATATGGCACACTAGGACATAATATAGCATACCATATACCTAGATTCTTTCCCTCTTGTTGTTCACAGCCTACTTCTTTCCCAAAACTTTTTAAGGGCAACCCTTTGGTGATATTTTTCTTATTAAAGCCCTTCTGAAGCCCCTTTCTTCCTAGTGCTATATAGATATCTGTAAATTGTGAGATCATTGTTTACTCTTAAGATACAAGTTAGGGCAAGTTAGGGAGTCAATTAATACAGTGATTAAAAAAAAAAAAAGAAGTATGCAATATCTACAAGCATACCAATGCTAAAGTAAACCTGTTCCCCAAATGAACAATAACCTGTAGAGGTATTTTTTATCCTAGGTCTGTCCAAGGCAATGTCAAGGCAATTATATTGATAAATAATATCTTGACACCATGTCATATAAATTATGTCATATAAATTTATTATTTATTATTAAAAGCATTATTATTATTTAAATTATTATACTGTTGTTGTTGTTGTTGTTATACCACCATCATTATGAGAGGGAAATGCCCAAAATGGCATAGATTATGTCTTTATATTCATCAAGTCATTTAGGTAGTTGCTCAGCTCTATTCTTAGTTTGGTATCTGTAGATATTATTTTCAAAAAAGGCCTTCTTATGCTGAATTGTCTGATAGAAAAGGTAAAGCGGTCATGTGGTGAGGTTAAGAGACACAGATGGATAGCAAGAGTACTCTACTGGTATCCTTGTGACATTAGGGGAAATCAAGGAAAGCCTCTAGAATCAAAGGTTCCCAAACTTATTTGGCCTATTGCACTTTTCAAAAAAGAAAAAAATTACTCAGAACTCCTCTGGAAATCTATTTTCTTTAATGCTTAAACAGTTTTTTTTAAATTTGTGTCATTTCAAAAAAACATAACTTTTTTAAATGATGCATTTTAAATTTAATAATTTATTGAAAATTTGTGTGGTTTTTCCTGCATTGAAATTCCAATGCTGCATTGAAATTCCAATGACATAATATTGCATCATGTAACCATAAAGTACAGTACTGTAAACAAGTCATTACATGCACATATTCCTGCCAATGCATACTGAACTTCCCAATAATGCATGACAAGCTCATTAGTCAACACATGCTTATTAAGACCTGTCAGCAGACTTGACCCCTGATCAGTTATAATTTGCATTTTGTGTGTTTATTTGGAAAATTATGTAATCTTTATGACTTTAACTCTGTTTCACAACAGATGAAACATGTATGAACGTTTTTTCAAAATTTTCTTCTTTTCTCTTCTTTCCTTATGCTTCTACCAGACTGTTATTTTAATTCAAAACTCCCCAATTACACCTGAGGTTATTACCACCCCACTAGAAAATTCAGCACCCCTAGGGGGTGGTGTCACCCACTCTGGGAACATACTAGTATGTTGGCTAGATAGATCCCCTGTGGTGAACTTATGGAAGGACATAGATGAGAGTCCTACAAGATGGGTAGGGGTGCTAGGCTGCAATTTGTACAACTGAATGGAAGTTACAAATGGATGATGTGATAGAGCCATTTGAGTATACTGCACTGGGTAATAAGCTGCTCATAATAATCATGGTTCTTTTCTGATTTACTCTAGAAGGACCTTCTTGGAAGCATGGTGTTTTTCACAGAGCATTAGAAGCTGATTAGCTGAGAAAGCAAGAAAAATATATAGGGAAATGGAAGTAATGATTTATAAGGGAAAGACTGCATGGCTATGTAATGACAATTTATACATATCAAATACATATGTAATGTAGAGTTTTGAAACTTAAAAAGTGATATTTATTCTATTTTGATTATAACAATTAGTAAGATAATATGTAAGATAATATACATGTCATTTTAAGGAAATTAGAAATTAAAGAAAAAGATTAAGACATCTATAATTTGCAGTATTGTTCATGGACTAATAGTATCAGTTTGGTCCCATGTGGGCATATTCAAATCTAAAAAAGTTGTGTCTCTGTCTCTCCATATAGAAACTTACTAAAAAGAGAAGTCCTTAGTCATATTATAAAAATATTGTTTTCTCCTAAAGAGGAATTATTGGAAGGTTCCTTTGAATGATAAGACCATTGATGTATTGAAAATAGAATTTGATTTACATACAACTTCTTAAGAAAATGTCTAACATACAAAGCCAAGTACCAAAGTAGTTTGTGTAAAGGCTCTAACTATAGTAATTTCTTACAAATCTTAGAGAATATCCAATTGCTACATTTACTGTTATTCATCATTTAGAATCATCTCTATTACTTATTGCTATTATGAGAACATGAGATAGATCCTAATTCTAATACTAAAAAAATCATATATTTAGTCTTCAGTCAACATGTTTAAAAAAATTATAGGTAATATGGCAGATTGGACAAAAGAATGACTTAGAAAGGCATGGGGTCTAGTCCAGCCTCTGACACAAACTAATTAAGTGACTCTGGGCAAGTGATTGAACCTCACAGTGTTTTTCTTTCTTTTTTTTTTTTTTGGCTAGGCAATGGGGTTAAGTGATTTGCCCAGGGTCACACAGCTAGTAAGTGTTATGTGTCTGAGGCTGGATTTGAACTCATGTCCTCCTCAATCCAGGGCCAGTTCTCTATCCACTGCGCCACCTAGCTGCCCCTAGACAAATCTTAAGACTATAAGTTATAGATGTCCATGTGTATCGGTGGAGTGATTTTCCACATTAAGGCTTCCCCACAGTGATTAAATTCTTTTATCAGACCTTCATCTTCTCCATCACCAAATTAAAACATAGCTTAGTCAACCTGGATATCTGGCACATGTAGGCAATATGATGAAATTTTGGACTGAACTGACTGGATAACATGGTTTCCTGCAGGGATAGCCTGAGAGACACTCAGTCAAACAATAAGCATTTATTAAGTGCCTATTACATAACATGCATTGGGTTAGGCGACAGGGAGAATAGAAGAGTGAAACAGTCTTTACTCAAAGATCTTAAATCTACAGTATTAGGCATATAGAATCTATAGTACTCACCTTAACTAGACAAGTGCTAGGCCAAACTGAAACTAGAAATGCAGAGTCCTTCGATTTTCTACTTCATTGCACAACCCATTGAACTACATCTAATCATATGGTACTTTTAAGAATCATTTGGAGAAACCAAAAAACAAAACTCAAACATGCTGTTTGAACTTGCTGCTACTGGCTGTGCTCTTTTTTTTTTTTTAGGCCATGCTCTCCTTCACTGAGCCAAATACACTGAAAAAAAACCCTTCTCAATACAAATTCAAAATTGGAATTTTTAATCAAAGGAAGGACATTGGCCAAGGCTCCCTTTTCTCATCTTACATTTGCTTAGTGAGAAGCAGAAAGGATAGTGAAGAGCAGAGAATCACTGATTTCAGAGGAGAACACTGAATTGCTAACTATAAATAGTAAATTTATTCCAGTTGGCACAGAAATACAGTACAGTTAGGGAACAATTACCATGACAGACCTGCCAGGCTAGAGTCAGCTTTACAGGCCAAAGAGTATATTTTTTCCAAACATTTGAACCCCAACTAACTCATTTTGCTAATAATGAGGTTTTGTTCCCATTTAATTGTTAAGAATATCTCATAGTAAGTGATAATGATTTGGCTCCATTCCCCCATTAATCTTTGACTATGACCCCATAAATATTCCAAAACACAGTTTTGCACAGACAGAGATTTGTCTCTGGTAGTATAGCAATTAGCCTTTACCTACTATTCACATGCATATTTATTGTGCTTATGTGATGTTGGCATTTTGTTGTTGTTGTTGTTGTTATTATTATTATTTAAATGGTATAAGGAACTCTGCTGAGGAAATTGCCTTAATCAATGCAGATCAGCACCAGCTCTGCAACTTGTAGTCATAAAGAGTTATTTGGCTTGGGTACCAAGGGAGTCAATGACTTGCCCAAGATTACCTGGCCAATATGTGTCAGAGGTGGATGGAGAAGGTTCATGTTCTGATCAAACAACATGCCATTCAGTTTAAGTAGCTGCTTTTCTGGGTAACACAGCAGATAGAATGCTGGACTTGGAGTCCAAGAAGGCCTGAGCTCACTTACTAGCTGTACAATGCTGGGCAAGTCATTTAACCCTTGTCAGTATCTTTCATCATCTGTAAAACGAGAGGGTTGAACTCAATGGCCTTTAAGGTCTCTTCTCCCTCTGAAGCTCTGATTCTCATATAGATTGGGGGGTTAGCATTTTGGCCTTTGTTAGGCGTCTCAAAAAAAGGGAAAATAAAACTTTATGAACACTTTGAAAATACACATTAAAGAACTACATCAGCTAGCATACCTATACTCCAATCCATTTCTTCCACAGCATCCCCATACATGCCATGTTTGCTCTTGCCCACAAACTCCTTCGCAGAAAAAAGTGCAGTGTGAACGTGAATGTAGGATAAGAAAAGAAGGAAGGGCGTCCCGGTGTTCCTAAAAAAGACCAATACAAAAGGCAGAAGCACATTTGTTAGAGATATGGTTAAGGAAAAAATTACAAAGAAATATATGATGATGATGTTGCAAAATGCCTTTAAAGAAGGAAGCCATGTAAGGTATATCTAAAATGTAATGTTGTTTTATTCCTTAAGAATGAGTAAACTGAAGGACCAAATCAAGGGTGGGGAACCTGCAGCCTTGAGGCCACATGTGGCCTTCTGGTCCTTGAGTGGGGCCTTTTGATTAAATCTATGTTTTACAGAACAAATCCTTTTTATTAAGGGGATTTGTTCTGTGAAGTTTGGATTCAGTCAAAGGGCCATACTTGAGGACCTAGAGGGTCACACGTGGTCTCAAGGCCACAGGTTCCCCACCCCTGTACCAAATGTTTGTGACTACCCCAAAAAATAACACAGGCCAAGCAGAAATACAGTGAAAACTTCTTAGTTTACAGTATTCTATTCTTCCCACTGTATAGTATCTAACTGTGCAATGAAATATCCTAAGATTATCAGTTCCTTGGAGGTGGAGACTTGGGGATGAAGGTGAGTAATGAAATGATACCACTTGTTCAAGCTAGTAACTTGATATTACTATACTTTCCTTTACCTTCCTGAAAGGTACTTATACTATACTTCCTGTCCACCTTGACTTCCATTAGAAAAAACTCCTAAATCTTTGGCTCTTCTGAAATTTTGTTGAATTATTGACTGAAATAGGGCATAAGGGAGTGTTGGTTTTTCAAATGTGGAGTTTTCCCCCCTTTAATGGTATCTAACTTGTGCCTTCTTTTGTACTGTTTTTTTTTGGGGGGGGCTTTTAGGCAATTGGGGTTAAGTGACTTGCCCAAGGTCACACAGCTAGTAAGTGTCAAGTGTTGGGTCTGAGGCCGGATTTGAACTCAGGTTCCCCTCACTTTAGGGCCGGTGCTCTATACACTGTGCCACCTAGCTGCCTCTCCTTTTATATTGTTAAAATAAACAAAATTTTGGAAAATGTATTAATCTTTCTTCAGGTACTCAAAATTCAATTAAGTTCCATTAAACAAACATTTATCAATAGCTTATATCATGAATGACATGTTTATATGCTGGGGAATTATAAAGATGTGATAAAAGTCAATCACTGTCCATAAGGAATTTATAATCAATTCAAAGTCCAAGTCCAACACTTAATAGTTACATAGCCAAAAAGAAATCTCTTAACAACTCTGGGCCTCAGTTTTTTCATTTGTCAAATGGGATGGGGGAGTAATACATTATTTACCTCATCCGGTTATTTGAAGAGAGTGTTTTATAAACTATAAAGTGCTATATGCAGGTGGGTTTTTCTTACTATAATTGTTGAGATAAGTTACACAATTACAGACAGAAAATAATAGAATCTGAGAATTAAAAGGGAGTTAATGGCTCATCTAATCCAAACTTCCATCAATTGATAAACATTTATTAACTGCCTGTTACATTCCAGGAACTCTCTTCCACAATGCAAATGACAAATGAACATTTAGCTTCTTCCCAAAGACCTCCAGTGATGACTCATTACTTCCTAATCAACCTAGTTCATTTTTTGATAGTTCTAACTCTCAGAAAGTGTTTTCTTTCATTAAATCACAATTTCACTCCATGTAACACCTACAGACTTCCCTTGGACAGACTTTGAAAGATAGTGGATAGAAGGACCTGGTGTACTATGGTCCATGGGGTCACAAAGAGCCAGACACCACTGAATACAACAACAAACACCTATCTATTCCTTTCAGTTATGCCTTCTAGAGCCAGAAAGAGCAAATTGAATATTTTTTCCATATGACAGCTCTTCAAAATACCTGAAAACTATTATCCTGTCAAGTTTTCTCTTTTCCACTCTAAACATCCAATTCTTTAAATTTATACTCACATGGTAAGGTTTCTAATCATTTTACTACCTTGTTTGATGTCAAGTGGACAACCTTTATAGCAATGTCCCTTTCAAAATGTGGCTCCAAGAGCTAGGCATAATATTCTATGTTTAGTCTGAACAAAGCAAAAATATACTGAATTATCATTCTGCATAACAGTCTTCCGTTAAATCAACCTATGGTCTGATTAGGTCATTGTCCTTCCTTCTTTCTTTCTTTCTTTTTTTTTTTTCTGGTGAGGCAATTGGGGTTAAGTAACTTGCCCAGTGCCACATAGCTAGGAAGTGTTATGTGTCTGCAGCCGGATTTGAACTCAGCTCCTCCTGATTCCATGGCCAGTGTTCTATCCACTATACCACCTACGTGTGCCCTTCCTTCCTTCTTTCTTTTCTTCCTTCATTCCTTCCTCTCCCATATTAATGCTGATTTATGTTGAGTTTGAAATTTTCTGAAGCCCCTACACAAATTGCCTTTGAATTATGACTATGCCATCCCATACCTATACACTTTTTTGGGTGGGGGGCGTCTGGGGAAGACTCATTACAAGAGGAAGGTCTATTCTTCTCCAAGAGGTTGGGGTGTGGAGGAGGAAATGTCCCCTGACTTTGATATTCAGGGTTCTCTGAGAATTGTAACACTCAATGCTGTAGATTTTACCTAGTAGGAATAAGGGACACTTGTGCCCTTTTCAAAAGAGGCTTTTCAAGGATAAAATGCTCAAGAAACTTTGTCTACATGGGACTTGAATTTTCCAACCTGCATGTTATCTACCAGAAGTAGAAAGAGGAAGCATCTTGGAAGCTAGAGAGAGATAAAGAATCAACCATCCAAGCCCATCTATATAAAAGGCATACCTCTGTCCCTAGGTATAGTAATCCACTCAGTTTGAATCTGACCTGGGACTAATCTTGATTTGCAAGAGAATGTTAACTGATCTAAAAAGATATCTAATTGGTTCCAAACCATGTTTCACATCTATTCAATTCAGACATTTTAGGACATTGGACCATCTTTCTTGATGCCTGCATGCATAACACGCCCCTCCAATAAATTTCTACATCTTGCTCTGGGAACGTAATACTAATTATTACTTTGGAAAATAATGGGACTGTGCTTTGGCTTCACTCATCATTCCTGTGACTCTCCAGACCAAAACTTTGTTCCCTGGCCATCATCTCTTCCCTGTGTATGTTTCCTTCCCCTTAAGAATGAAAGCTCCTTTGAGAAATGGACAGATTCATTTGTCTTTGTGTCCCTAGAGCCTGATGTTGTATCTGGCCCAAACTAGTTACTTAAAAAATGCTTCTTTCATTCATTCATTAGTTCATTCATTCACATGAATGATTTTACATTATCTTATGCAATAATAATACAAATTATAATGGTGCTATGACAGATATAAGGAGAGAGGAGGAGTACTTCTGTTGGGAAATGAAATCATGGTCTTCATGGCAGATGTTGTGAGCTAGGCCTTTGAATACTGGAAGAATTTCAAGGGGAGTAAATGGGGTAGGGGTAAAATTGAAGGGGCAATATTCTAAACATAGAGAACAGCTCAAGGAAAAGCATGAGGTAAATAAGGATAAGAACTGGGTAACTAATTTCCAGGTATAATATTAAATAAACAAAAGATAGAAGTATAAGGTAAGACTAGAAAAGTCAGTTGGAACCAGACTGCAAAAGGGCACAAATTCTAGGCCAAAGGGATGAGACTACTCAGTAGGGAGCTGTTAAAGGTTTTTGAGGGGAGAATGACATGGTCAGAGTTGTGCATTAGGAAGATTAACCTAGCAACAATGAAGTGGATAGGTTGAATGAATGAACAAATGGTAACAAGAAGATAGATTTAGGGCCTTTAGTAACAGACTAGACAAGAACCTTTAGACTAGGGAGGTTGCAATAGGAAGAGTTTTGAGGATTCTTGTATCTATCTCCTAGTCTCTTCAAAGGTGCTCAATAAATCGTATACATTCTTTTTGTATCTAGTTGACATTTGAGAACTGCACCTATTACTGCAGTTCAGCAATGCATAATAGGTTCAATTTTCACCTTTGAACATGAAAGAGTACCTGCATTTTTTTCCCCTTCTTTATGCTTTCTTGATCATCTCCTATCTAGCTGAAGGACAGAATAACTTGACAGGATATTGGCAGTCTTCCTGGATGTGGAGAGAGAGTTAATATGTATATCCACTTCATAGTTCAAGTGATGGTATGTTTCAGGAGTTCTTTGTGGGAGCCTGTGGTCCAGAGAACAGAAACAGGACCTGAACCAGTCTGCCTCCATTCCACCCCTCCCCAGGCACAGCTCTGATGACTCCAAGTTAAGGTTACAGGACGTATTGTGTACAGTCGTTTTTTTTTAAAAAAATGGTTCACAGTTGGTATTGCAGAAATTACTATTTAAACTATTATTAACCTCATTTATTCCCATTCCTGATACATAACTTCTTCATATTAGGAACCAAGATATTGATTCCCGGATATTTTGAAGGTGTAATAGCTTATTTAATTTTTAAAAATTACATTTATGGAGCATTTGTTATATTAATGCTAAATGTGGTGGAGTCTTAGTAAAGATGAGTAAGACTCAGTCTTCTTCTAAAGTTCAAAAAGTTTATGATCTAGGAGGGAATCATTCAACAAATATTTAAGATGTATTCTCTACCTGCATTGCACTGTGCTGGTGATAAGAGAGGTAAATAACAGTCATAGAAAGATAAAATATGATAAATGTCACAAGAGAGGTATAATGTAATGTAGTGACTCAAAAAAAAAAAGAAAGAAAGATCATTGGGGCAGCTAGGTGGCACAGTGGAAAGTCAGAAGGACCTGAGTTCAAATCTGGCCAATTATTTCAGTGTTTGTCCTAAAGAAGAACTAATATTTGTAAAAAGACACGATCTTTGCAAAGTGTTTTAATATATTATTTTGTTTGATTTTCAGAATAACAGTCCTGATAGAGTGGCTGAAAAGTTGTGGCATATGGTGGTGATTAAATAAATGTGTTAAAAGAAATGATGAACAATATATTTTCAGAAAAACCTAGAAAGACTTTCATGGATGGATGCAAAGTGAAGTGAGCAGAACCAGAA